GGATAGCACTAGTCTGGAATATTTGATCTACACAGACCATCAGAAGTCATTCCATCCCTTCTATTCTTTGTGTCTAGCACAAAACTCCTACCCAGATTAGCCTTGCTGGTACACTGCCTGAGTTGGCTGGTTGATAGTAAGATTTGGGATCTTCTAAAACAAAGTAGGGAGCTTGAAGCATCAGGAACAAAGGAGCCAGATGAGTTTAATAGGTAGAAATTGTCAACACAGCCTTTAATGAACACAGGGTCAGATTTGGGAAATGTGGCTTCAATTGAGATGTTTCTTCAGTATTCCTCCCTGGAAAACCCCATGGACAGAGGATCCTGACAGGCCACGGTCCATGGTGTTGCAAAGTCAGACACGACTGAGGACGCTGATAGTGTTGAGTCAAATATTAAACTAATGGTTGTCTGACTTCTACACATCTCAGAATAAAAGATAATCAATGAAACAAATACAACTTAAAAGATTAAAATTTAATGGACAGCCATTAAAAAATAAAGAAGGCTAGAGCTTTGTAGTTTTAGTCAAATGATCAGATTTTCCATTTGACCCTGTTCACAAATTGAACTAACCTGTGAACAACTGCACACAGATTGCAGCTGTGATACACGTCTCTCAGGCTGAAACATGCTGATTCATTCACCACAGTTCGTTTGCAAGTGAAGGAAACAAACTTTTAAGTTAGAGAAATATAAGCAGTCTTAGATCTGGGAGTCATCAGGAAATGTTTGGTGCTTTAAAGAACTGACTGAAAGTTAAACAGGTTAACGTGACATTTCAAAGGGATTTTGAAATTCAATAGCTTTCTCTAGCAGCTGATGTTTATTCTCTGGTTGTAAGACAAATGTTGAATTTCTTCAAAGGAACAATGATAGATTCTAGAATAACTAGATAGGTTCAACACTCATGATAGTTATTTTTTCCCCTTCATTCTAACCCCTCCCTACCCCATGAATATCACGAATGTACATAATAGGAAATGGGAGAACCATCTGGCTGGCTTTTAAACATGGTTTTCTTCATCATCAAAGAGGTTTCTGTGTGAAAACTGTAATTTATAGATTCAGAAGTAGGTATGGTGCCATTAAAAAGAGAAAAGCAAAATCACAAACTATATATGTAAATCTAGGAAGAGGACATATTCTTTTTTTCTTACCATAAAAACGCTGTGCAGAAATGTAAGATGTTTACTATCACTTGAAAGTTCCATGAGTTGCATAGTCTGTCAGTTGTACATTTTCTTTCATTTTTATTATTTGAAGTATAGTTGATTTACAAAACTATTAGTTTCATGTGTACAACACAGTGATTCAATAATTTTGTATTGAATATTTAGTTTCTCAGCTGCCACTTGTGGAACTGGCAAGTGGCAGCTACAAATGCTGGACTAACCACTTTGAGTTTCCTTCTTCTGGATATTTTTCACTGCAGTATTAAGTCTCTGGTGCTTTCAAAGTTACTTATTAAAAAAAAAATCTTTTCTAGATTTTTTCTAGTTGTTTTGAGTGGGATGGTTTATCCAAATTATTGTTTGCCATTACCAAAGCTCAAGTCTTGGTTATTAGTACATACCTTACTTAATTTGATGTCAATTTTAACAACCAGGAATCCCCCTATTTCTGTTCTTTCCACTGTCTGTTATCTTGGAAAGTTACTCATCTCTCATTTACTCTATAGATGATCGTGGGGTAAATTCACAGTACTGCCTTCACTAAATGCACATCTAGAGGACTACCTATACCTTGTGAACAACTCACAGAAGACATGGTCTGACTCCTAGAACACAGAAAGAGGATTTTGTAAAAAAATCAGAGTTAGACAAAGCTACAGGAGTGACTTTGGAGACTGCAATGGAGCACAGATTTTTATGGAAGGATGGATTAACGTTATCAAATGCTGAAGAGGTTAAGTAAATGAAGAGGATGATTAGGATATTGGGTAGGGTAACTAAGAGGTCACCATTAATTTTTAAGACAATAGTTCCTACAGAAAGTATACTAGAATTGGATAAAAGAAATACAGACGCAAAGTTAGATGTAGTGGAGACTTTAAGAAGTCATGATATTAGGACTTCCTTGGTGGTCTAGTGGCTAGGACTCCATGCTTCCCAGGCAGGTGGCCCAGGTTGGATTCCTGGTCAGGGAACTGGATCCTATATGCTGTGACTAAGAGCTTGCATGCCACAACTAAAGATCCCTGCACACCACAATTAAGACCTGGCATAGCCAGATAAAGAAATATTTACAAATAAGAGGTCAAGATATGAAAGAAAACAGAATGATGGTGGTATTTGCGTAAGGAAAATAGTCAAGGAGAGATTTTGGTCATTATGATTTGCTTTCAGCATGGTTCACTTTTGAACACTTTTGTAGATTGAAGGAAAGATACTAGTGCAGAATGGATGGAAGACTGATGAGGGAAAGCAAAATTGACTGAAATAGGTCCTAGAGAAGACAGCAAAGGAACAAAGAGAAGCTCTGTATTGAGATATAGGAGTACAAAATGGAGATAAAGGGAGAGAATTATAAACTCTGAGATGAAGGTAAGGGTGTGGGGATTATATGGATCCTGTTTCACTAACATACCTTTCCGTGGCGCTGTAAAAGAGATCATCAGCTCATCCTAAGTGTGAACTGTCCATTTACCTTTCATGTTATTTTCCCTTTCAAAACCTGCAACTTACACTTTATTGGTCCTGTAGTTTCTCTGCACTGACTTTAGAGTGCAGAAATAGGAAACTTTTAAAACACTCCTATAGAAATCTTCCATCTCTTATCTCATAACATACTCATTTCCTTTCCCCCCTCAAAATGTATTTTGGAGAATCTTACTACAAGGACCACTTAGTTTCAGGCACTTACTGATATGGAAGTGTAGGAGGACAAATAACATTTTCCAACCTAAATGAATGTCAAATAACTGGTTCTTTTCTTCCCAGTTTGTTTTCTTACAAATGGAAACTCCACAAGGGCAAAGACTGTGTGTTTTATTATGCCTTGTCAAACTATAGCAAATACTGGGGGTGTTAAATAAATAATAAATAGGAATAAAATTTCCCCATAATAAAACTGACTATAAACCCAATCAACTGCTGCTTCTGATGCACAGGCTTCATTTAAAACCACTAGGAATAAAGTACATATTTCCTTAGCCACAGTGCCCAGAAATATGCTATATTTTGGTAATTATGACTTTTAACTCATAAATATTTATTATTTTCTATTTGATTCATAGCAATCTGATGAGGAAGTCCCAATACTGTCCACTCTTTAAAGTGAAAGAAATGAGGATTAAGGATATTAAAGAGCATGCCCAGTTTGCATATCCAGCTAATATATGCAGACCTGGAATTTAAACTCATTTTTTCTGACTCCAAAGCCAACGGTTTTATTTACAAGGCTATATAGACTTCTCCTCAATTTAGCATTTCTAAGAGTTGGATGATAATGCTTTTCCTTGTGAAAGAATGAAGAACCATACCGTTTGACTGTTTAACAATACAAATCCTTACCTTGTATAAGGCAGACAAGTATTACTGGCCAGGCATAAAGATGGAGCTTAATGAAGAGAACCTATAACTCAAGAATCAGAAATGGAGCATGTCCTCTTGTTTGACTTCTGCTTTGTATTCTAGCATCTGGGCAGTGATATATTTAATAGGGCATATACTAATAGTAGAAAATTTGTACTTAAATGCCTTGCGTTTAAGATAAAGAATTGCCTAAGGAGTTGTGACATTACCAAAAAGGCAAACTTATAGTCTGCATATCAGAGTTACACTTTTTCCTTTACTTTGTAAATTATCTGAGAAGGAGAGTAAGGTGGTCAAAATCTTTGTGAAGAATTTTAAGGTCCATCTAAATGACAGTATAGTGAACTATCACCATTGCATCTGCATTAATTAATTCTATTGAACATTTAATGTTTCTGAAAGTTCAGGCTGTAACAAGACTTTAAAAAATTTATATTTAAACTATCTCTTAGCGTTCCTGCAGATCATGCTGTGTGTTACCAAACATTAGTTGGGAATAGTAGCAATAAACAGATGAAATTTGAGAAAATAATATAAAAATAGTTATGCTTGTTATACAATCTAGTTTCTTTAGAATATGATGCTGATTTTTACAAACCATACTTCATTCAACATTGAACATATGGCATTGTGGTTCTGAGAAAAATATATCTCTGATGAGGATTTCTGTCATTAAATTCATATTTATCAAGCACCTCACAAAATTCCCTTTACATTTTAATGCTTATCTCTTTCTATTATAGACTGTTGCTAACACACACACAAAATCTATTAGAATACTGCAGCAATCACAAAAACACAATAGAAAAACAGGTATATTAAAATAAAAATTAGAGAAGTTTAACTAGAAGCAATTTTTAGTTGTCTTACCCATTACTAACAATCTAACATGTAGAGCTTAGTTTGTGAGAGTACATACTAATATTGCATAATACTTCTTTTCCCAGAGTAAATGTGAAATATAAATTAATGTCATCTCTGCTGGTGACCCACTCCAGTACTCTTGCCTGGAGAATCCCATGGACAGAGGAGCCTGGTGGGCTACAGTCCATGGGGTCTCGAAGAGTCAGACACGACTGAGCAGCTTTACTTTCACTTTCATGCATTGGAGAAGGAAATGGCAACCCAATCCAGTGTCCTTGCCTGGAGAATCCCAAGAACAGAGGAGCCTGGTGGGCTGCCATCTATGAGGTCGCACAGAGTCAGACACGACTGAAGCGACTTAGCAGCTGTAGCTGCTGGCATAAGAAATTCACATCTGAACAGAGAAAGGGAAAGGGAAGGAGTATAAAAAGAAAGAAGTGAGAGAGGTGTTTTTGATTTCTTCCTAAAAGGTCAGGCTTTAATATATATTTATTGAATAAATATATATACATTCATCTTTTATAACCAAATGAAAGTGCTAATATAAATTTTCTATCTTTTGTACCTTTTGAATTGTCCATTAAGTACTGACTCATACTTTTTGAATAAGATTTCAAATGAAGTTTAAATTTTATTTAAAAAATCTACAGTATAAATTCATTATTATTTATGCTTCTTATTTAAAAACAAAAATTAGAATTTTATAAACCTCTGAAGATATGTAACACTCTGCAAAGACTAAAGAAAATATGATTTTCAAATATTTACAAGTTAATTTTAAGAGGTTTTAGTTAACCTCAAAAACCTAGTGAGGCATACTGTATTTTCTTATAAACTATTGGTTGTAATATAATAAATAGCTCAATATAAATGAATTTAAGCACAAACCATATATCACATATTACATGAAATAGAAAAAAATAGATATTATTACTGTCTTCCCCTGAAATTAACCTAGAAATTTCAAAGATTACATAATAACCAACATATAATTGTCAAAACGAAATGAACATACAAAATTGGAGTATCAACTAAAAATTGTATGTAGTTATTAAATTTCATTTCTTAATGAGCAATTATTAAAACTGTTAAGAACTGATGTCCTACACAATGGGATCTATGTTATATAAAATGACTGGCAGAAGCAGTCAATAGAAAGATTCAGAAATGCAAAACAATTGCTTGTTTTATATAATTTATATTTTATTAGAAAAGCAATGTACATTCATTTTAATAATCTGATTTTCTATATGTACTGTATAAATTCCCCAAAACCATTCTCCAGTGTTAATTATTTGAAACTCATTCATGTATTTGATTATTCATCCTACAACTAAGACTAAGAGGAAGGTAAGAATGATTGTCGCAAACAGCCTAATTATAAAAAATAGATAATGTGTTTTTACACTATAATATTTTGAAGCCGATTTTGTGTTTATTGAAGCAGGATTTTTTTCATGCATATTATTCAAGATTTTTTGGTGGGGGAGGGGTCAGAGTACTAGTCTCTTAAGGGTGCCATAATAAACTACCACAGATTGGACAGCAGAAGACAGCAGAAATCTATTCTCTATCTGTTCTGGAGGTTGGAAGTCTGAAACCAAGGTTTCAGCAGTTATTAATACCTACTAAAGTTCCTGAGGGAGAATCTACTTCATGCTTCTCTCTTAGCTTCTTATGGTTGCCAGCAATTCTTGGTGTTCCCTGGCTTGTAGATACATCACTTCAGTCTCTGCTTTTGTCTTCATGTGGCATTCTCCCTTGTGCCTCTGTCTTTCTTCTCTTCTTATAAGGACACAGATATATGGGGTTAAAGGATACATGCCCATGTATCCTTTGACTCTTATTCATTCTTTGAGTCATAAATCAAGTACCATGTTGTCAGACCTGGTTTCCTTTAGTAGATGAAGTCCCTATTGGATGTATTTATGGTACTGACTAAACACAGCACAGGACAGCATACTACTTCTATACAGCCCTTACCACTTTGTCAATTTTATATTAATTTTTATGATTAGTTAATTACCATCGCTCTTCTTTGCTAGACTATAATCTCCACAGGACTGGTACTTTGGGCTATGTATATTTTACTCACCTTTGTTTCTCTATTTCAGTACTTGCATCATAACTGAATAAATCAGAAATGCATACTTATGTATAAAAAGTTATGTGAATTATGAATTAATTTTAACTATAATTTATTAAAGAATCCTCTACCATGTGAACTCCTGAGAAAACATTTTACACTTAGTTATTATTTGTAAATAAGAAAATTAAGAGCACACAGATTTTAGTATCTGGAATAGATGATAAACTTTTCCATTTCAATAGACTTTGACTATTTTGAATAGCTCAGTTTAAAAATGCAGAATTCAAATGATAAGAGATTTCACTATTTATCAAAAGCATTCTGGGCTATTACTATAATAAATACAACTGAATTCAAATATAAGTTTTATGAAACATCCTCTGTGAAGGCTATTAGAGCAATTCTATATTTTTAGTTTGCAATATATGAAAACATGGCACATATCATATGGAAAAATCTCTTTAAAACAATGAACACTATAATTCAGTATTTAAATTTATCAGTGTAATGCATTTTTAAAATGGTAATACCTGTATTTGAGAACGCTGTTTCCAAGAGAAAAATTAAAATAAATTCCATGATCATTATTAACTATTTGAAACATAGACAGTCTGTGGCAAATCTGAATATCTAAATTCAGAATCTGGTCATGCAGATATAATTAAAATCTCTCTTTTGACAACTTGATTTTACATACACATATTCTCCTCTTCTTCTTTTAAAAAATTTCCTGATTAAAGAAAATATTTAACCAGAATTTAACCATTTCAAAAGTCAAATATATTGCTAAGATAAACATATTTTTCCAGTTTTGAGGTACTGCTGCTCCTTGAATTGAGCTTTCTACATCATGCTAATATTTCTTACATTTTCTTTTTGAGGGAAAAAAAAAAAAAGCTAGATACCCTCTAGATCCACACATATATAATTATATAGCTTTATATATCCCACACTTTCTTACATTAGGTTGTCCAGGAATGTCACATGAGAAACTGTGAGGAAAATCTTGAAGGATTAGATGATGAAAACGTTCTCATAATTTGATAGCTGCTCTAAGCTTGGCAGAGCGTGCTCTGGGGTTATCCTGTACATCTTTATCTTCTGGAGTAAGTACCTTCTTGTGCATCAGTTTCCACGTTAAAGAGGCCTTTCCTATAGAGACGTGTTTCTTGTTTTCCTGATCTGAATCCAACTGTGATTTTTGTATCACTTTCTGTCTAGCACTTAGGTTAAACCTTTCTGTCATGCTTATCCCAAGCAGGAATCGTTTGATGATGCGATCCTCCAGTGAATGGAAGGAGAGGGCAACGAGGTGACCACCAGGTCTCAGAAACTTCTGAGCTGTCTCCAGTCCTGTGTAAAGTTCATTGAGCTCATTGTTCACAAATATGCGAAAAGCTTGAAAAGTCTTTGTAGCAATATGGGTAGATCGCTGTAGCAAATCTTTTCGCGCATAAAGAGCAGAGGGAGGAAATGCACCTACAGACAGATTTTGTAAAAACAGGAAAAGAGGATGGGTCACATTAATATTTTCCACTGTAAATTTACTGGGTTGTGTTTTATATATATTTAAGAAACCGTTTCGTTAGAAAATTGTGTCATTTCATCCATATTTCTCCATTTTCTTTCCAAGCATTCCATCAAAGTTTAAAACTATTGTGTCAGTAACATCTTTCAGAACTCTTAAGGCTAACTGGAGTCAAATAAGAATAGAGAAAGACAAAAGGTTGAACAAATATTTGATGAAATAATAATGAAAAACTTGCTAACTTTGATGAAAAATGTTAACTCTCAGCTAAAAAAGTTCAGTGATCTCAAATAGAATAAACACAGAAAACTGCACGTAGACACATCATAATAAAACTACTACAAGCTGAAGATAGTAAGAAAAACTTTGAATAAAACAACAACAAAAAAACACTGGAATACAACTCAAATTGTTGAGGAAAAAAAAAAGCTATCTTCCAAGAAAGCTATTTTAAAACCATTTTTCAAAATTAAAGGTTCAAAGACATTTCAAATTAATTTTAAAAATGAGAAAGTTCATTGCTAATAGCTTTAAATTAAAGAAATGCAAAAGCCAATACTTCAGTCTGAAATAAAATAACATCAGGTGATAACCTGGATAGAGAGAAGACAATAAAAATATGAGTGATATATGAAGATAAGAAATATGTTTAATTTCTCACAAGACAGGACTATCTTTCCATCATTCTTAATTTCCTTAAAAGTCAGGACTCTAAGTAAAATTATAACAATATTCTCGGGTTTATAATATAAAGATGTACTGTACATGACAGTAGCACAAAGGATGAGAGTGCATAAATGAAACTATACTATTACAAGGTTCTTGTATTTTACGGGAATTTAAAGTTGCATACTGTGGTCTCTAAAATACTCAATAAAAACAATGCAAAGAAATAAAGCCAATAAATTGAGAATAAAAATAATCCACAACATATTTTAACATAAAAGAAGGGAGAAAAACAGGAAAATAAAAATGAGGCAAAGAGAAAACAAATAGGAAAAATGTAAGACAATATATCCAATATAAAAATAATCACATTAAATATAAATGTACTAAACATCAGTAAAAATGTAGAGACTATGTTACTGAGAACTAGCAAGACCTAACTATACAGTGTCATTGTCAAGATCTAATTATACATCATACCTAATTAATTACATAATTATACATTATAGAAAAGTACATTAAATTTAAAAAATACAAATAAAAATAAGCAAATAACTAGAAAGCATATCATGTAGAGAGTAATCATAAGCCCCGAGAGACCACAGAACCATTAGACAAACAGGCTTCTAAAGCGGAGAGCTGCTGTGCTGTGCTTAGCTGCTCAGTTGTGTCTGGGCATGAAGGACACTAGGCTGTGTCACTAGTCTGACCTTTGGTGACCCCATGGAATGCAGCCCGCCAGGCTCCTCTGTCCATGGAATTCTCCAGGCAAGAATACTGGAGTGGGCTGCCATGCCCTCCTCCAGGGGATCTTCCCAACCCAAGGATCAAACCCAAGTCTCCCGCATTGCAGGCAGATTCTTTACCATCTGAGCCACCAGGGAGAATTGCTAGACCCCAAAATAAACATTTCCTATAGAAAAAATAATCCAGGCAGCAGGAAGATACAATTACAAAAGCATATGCACCAAATAACATAGTTTCAAAATTTTACACCTCTCAGAAAAATAACCCACATTTATATATGCAATTGTATTTTGACCAAACATCAAGTTAATTCAATGCAGAAAGAACAGATTTTCAATGAAAGTGATTATATGTACAAAATAAAATGAACTTCAACCCTTACACCTCACCATACACAAAACTTAATTCAAAATGGATCATGAACCTAACAGCAAATACTAAAACCATAAAATATACATCTGACAAAACTCTTATTCACATATAAGGGAATCTCACAACTTAATAATAGTACACATTTTAGTAATCTGTAACTCTGGTAATAAAGTGCATTAAGACACATCTGATTAATCATTTTAGGAAACTGGATTAGAGAGGGGACAAATAATATTTTATATGTATCTCACAGCTGAGAACCTGGCCATCTGACGTTAACCAAATCAATGTTATATGTTCCCTTTCCCTCAACAAAATCTACTTCATTGAAAGGCTAGAAAACATTTGACACTAGGGAATTTATCTTCCAACAACCAAGTCTCTCAGAAACAAAAGTCAAAGTTGAAGAGGGAGTTCAACTTCTTTCCCTTTGATATTCAATTTCTCCATTTTCCAGGGAAAGAGTTTTAGTCACTGGGCAATGTGTTTCAAAACATTCTAAGGATCTGAACAAACATGCATGATTTAGAACTTGAACTTAGAGAATGCTTCAGGAAGGCTGCATTCCTGAAGACCTTAAGTGATTCAAACCTTGCCTAATTCAACACTAATTTTTTCAAAGGGGAAATGTAATACAAAATATGTTTTAATGTACATGGATTTTAATGTAAAATAGGAGGCAACCATTCATGGCACACATGGATCAATAAATACTGTAGGATATTTCTGCTTTAAGGCTTAAGGTTTTGTTTTTTTTTATTGGCATCTCTAATATTTTGTAGAAATTAAACTATGGCTCAACATGGTAACTGCTTAGCTTTCCCTGTATTTTATCACATTTTAAAGATATATATTTGAGGATGTGGTTTTTTAACACAGCCCACTGAATTAACCATGCCTAGATATGTGTGAACTAAGTATATGAAATTATAGAAAAGGAGAAAGCTTAATACTTTGTTGATATTATCATTAGATATATTTTTGAAAGCTAATAAAAATAGGAAATGCTAAAATAATGAAGTAATGTCTGAAATCTCCATGAAAGTGAAAATGAAAGTCATTCAGTCGTATCTGAATCTTTGAATTCTCCAGGCCAGAATATTGGAATGGGTAGCCTATCCTTTCTCCAGGGAATCTTCCTGACCCAGGAATCAAACTGGGGTCTCCTGCATTGCAGGCAGATTCCTTACCAACTGAATGATGACAGAGCCCCAAAGCTCCATAGAAGTTCTATATAAACAGCATTGGTTCATTTGATATGAAAAAATATGGTAGGCATTTTTGTTTATCAGCTAAAATGGCATCTTCCTGTATCATAATTATAGTTTACAATTCATGTAGCCAGCTAGATATAGAACTACAAGATTCCTAATTATTTTAATTGAAGAAATCTGTTTTTATTTCAAAGTATTCAGATAAAGTGACTTTATTAATATTTTATATTATGCAACCTCAAGTTTATATAATTCATGTTCACATTAAGTGCATTCACTCTACATATGAATCTGGAGCTCACAAATTAACACCAATGTAACCAGATAAGCTTGTCTTTATAAGGTCTAATTAGGCCTTGTCAATATCAGATCAAGGAGAAAGAAAATAAGAGCTTTCATTTATATTTAGGAATGGATGATCCTGAAGATAACAGGATAACTAGATTTCATGAAGCTTTCCTTCTGGCATTTACTTCTGCATAGGGAATTCTAACCTGGACTATGTCCACTGGGTTTCCTGAGAAGGATTTCTAGGAGTGGTCCTGTCAGCCTCCCCAAGTTGCATTTTTAGGGAGAAGACAAGGGACTGCAATGGGCAATGTATGGTCTTGTGGAGCTTTTTAGTGCTGCTCTGGGGATCAAAGACACTATATCCTCTCTCCCTTTATACTGGAGCTTTTGTGTCTGTAATTATGGGAAGAGAGGCTGATATGCAGATTGTGTAAAATGAAATAAAAACGAAACAAAAGTGTATAAAATACCATATGGTAACAGAAATTAGAACAGTAAAAACAAAACATCAACTGTTAACGTTACAAACAGACAGAAATATAAGAAAAGACAATCCTACTAACAAGAATTAAACAAAGTTCTTTGTCTGAATTGGAAAGTGTAAAGACAACAAATAAATGTCCTGTGCTTCTGAGGTAGCAAAAAGTGATTTCCTTGCGAGAGTCACTAGTCAGAGAGCAACTCTGCTACAGAGTCCTCTTAAGTATGCAAAGACTAGGTAGGAACAGTTGCCTACAAATAATCAGAAAAAGATTCAAAAACTATATTAGAACCAAGGTCTACCTATGAGCTGGACTGTAATTTAGGCCATAGGAAGAAAAATATTAGCGATACCTGCTCCCCAACTCTGAGGAGCTGGCTGTTTTGCAATCCTTCTTCACTGCTTTCTCATCTCCCATATCCTGTTATCAGAAATAGAAACTGGTCTCTTTGTTTTTCCATTTCCTGAGTTTAATCACAGAGTCTTGTATGGCTAATTCATTTGATTAAGGCATAGAGCAGGTAAGACAGAAAATATGGACTCAAGCACAATCTGGGTCATTTGGTTTGGTACTGAGAAAAAATCTCCTTTTTCTATTTTATAGCCCATCAATGGATTCACTTAACACCAAGCCAATGTATGTTAGTTCTAAATTGGAAAAGGTGTGCTTACCCTTCGTGTAGCACTTATCGCACTACTATAATTACTAGTTTACTTGTCTGTCTTATTCGACTCCAATCTCCTTGTGAACAGGAATTATTTCATGTTAACTCCTATATTCCTCCTGCTCAATAGGGACACTTCTGACTGTTAATCCTGACTGTACGTCAGAGTCACCTGTGGAGCTTTTGAAAAAATAAAGATGCCTGGCTGAAGTCCACATCAATTGAATCAGTTTCAGGGGTTTATTACACAGGAATCAGTACTTTAAAAAAGATTCAAAGAGGATTCTGATTTGCAGCCAAGATTAAAAACTACTGCAGTAAACACTCGGTAAATGTTTGTTAAAAAGATAATGAATGGATAATGAACAATAAATATGGGCAAATGAATAAAAATCCAGGACCATAACTACAAACAGTTTTATTCACATCACTGGATTAATATACAAAGAGTATAATATTCAGTCATATCAATAAGTGACTAAATAAAGAACATAATATTCCTAGAGAAAACATTA